ATGTCTTAAGAATTTGAAGTGATAATGATAAAATATTTTGCATTTTTCTGAAACCTTTATTGTTAGAAAAGTTACATTTTATTTTAAAAAGATTTTTTTATTACTACGTAAAGCTAAAATTGCGAAAGTTTTCATTGAATTTTTTTTCTGTTGATATCGTAGAAATACAATGAAGCAATTCATTTCGCTGTTATCATATAGGCATATATCGAAATATTTGATACGTTAAACAATAATATATTTTTTCAAGTAACTTGTAATAAAATTACAAAATGTAAAAGGCAAGCAAATTCGTGTCAATAGCGAGGTTGAGGCCGAAGTTTTAAACGCGAAAACGTGTATGTCGGACGTTCAGCGCCGCTCTCCTGTAAGCCTAGAAGTTTGACAATGGTGTTTGGATAGTCAGTGGAATCATGCTCGACGTTCCAAACACATTGATTTAACGAGTAACACAGCATCGACACCTGAAAGACTCATTGTTCGGAAATCGATGGCAAAAATTAAAGAGTAAAAATCGTATTAGGCATTTGTCCATCCAAAAAGCCGAAGATTCATGAAAACATATGCAGTTTAACCAGGTCGGACAGGTCCATTAACCGCCACTCAATATAAAATCTTAAGGTCATCTCACGTACGTTTCAAGTTCTAATGACTTCCAATAAGTTATATGTGAGTCTCTAAGTAAACTCTAATTCTATCTCTAATCGCCCCAAAGCGCGAGTTAGTCAAGGTGGCAGCAGCCTACCGCTCTGGGGGACCCGGGTTCGAATCTCGCACGGTGGTAGTCCATCAGGATATGTCGGGCCCCGTTCCTCATACCCGGTCGCTCCATTGTGGACCTGGCCAAACCGATAATGGGCTTGCAAAAAACGCTCTCTTAATGCCCACAGGGCGGAAAGANTTTACTGAAGAAAGAAAAATTTCACTGGAACCTCGTTACTCGTACTAATAAAAACCACTCATTACTACTTTCCTCATCTTTGATACATTGTTAATTGGAGAGTAGATAAACGGCTTTTTCTGACTATAAGTTCGTTCACGGGGTAGAATCGCGTGTCCGATTATTCGTACATATTTAGATTGTTTAATGCTATAATGTTTATTTATTAGACCTGGGGTGCTCAGACTTTTTGCTGTAGTGGGAGCAGTTTTTTGTTCACCCAATTTGAAGCTTAACAACTACTTTGATGAAAATTTTAAAATTTTTGCAGGAAAATTTGTGCATTAGAAGATTGATACTATTAAATTTTGGTGGTTAAAGATCCAGGGGATGGGAAGATATAGTGGAAGATTAATTATCATATCTCGATGGGTTCGGACTTAATGAAGATTTCACTCGTTATTAGCATTTACATTTTTTTAAAATAAAACCCATCCCTACCCTGAAAATTAAGCTTTTTGACATTTTGTAATAGTTAAAAATATTTTACTTTTAAATAAACATTTTATATCGGTGCCACTAAATGTTGCCGGGAGAGTTAGGCAACTCCTTGCTGGATTTTTTTTAACTATCTACTAGTTTCTCCTATATGTATACATGGACTATTACAATTAAATTTATAAATTACGCCATTTTGTTTCGATTTATCCTCCATTGTTAGATTTTTCTTGTTAATATTAAGTATCAAATTTTTAATTGTTATTGTCATTGCTACGCATTAATTGATTATCTTTATTAAGGGTGCACCGATTAATCGGTATCGGCCATTCCCCCCCCCCGATTAATCGGTTTCGATAATCGGCCAATTTTACATTTTGGTATTATTGTTAGAATGTTACGTACAATGCTAGTAATAAAAACTAATAAATTTCTGTTATATATTTATTGTTTATTACATGACAAACTGAATATTAAAAAAATTTTACTAATCAAATTATTCCTTTTATCGATACATATTATAAGTATAATATAACGTATAATATAAAGTTTAAACTTTACATAAGAAAAAGTATTGAATAGGTTAAGAAGAAAAATTAAATTTTTATTTGTTTCATAAGTTTAAANTAAATTTCGTTTCAGAAGTTTTCTTCTTTATTATTTTAAAAATTAATTATATACAGTATAATAAAATCTCTGTCTCCGAATGCTTCATATATATTTCTACCCTTTGATCAACACGGACCAAATTGTTCACAAGGTCTCCAGGAACTTGCAAAAAACCATGCAGCCTATCATCCTATTATGGAACTACTATATAGGGCCGTCCTGAAGGGGTCTGGCCCGGAGTGCAGAGAAAGCTTCAGGCACTAAGGAGCCCTTAACTACCAGTGGCATGCCGTGACATTTGATGATAGGGAAGTTGTGTTTCTGCAAGAAACCGACTTCCAGGGGCAATCAGTTAATTCTCTAAATTTATTTTTAACAGTGGCGTGCCGTCATTGGAAGCGGTGGATGCGCCGCTTCCCTTGTATTTTCTAAAAACTAAATACATATTAATTTTAATTTTATGAAAATTTTCAATATTTTAATTAAAGTAAACTTAGGAAATTCAAAGATTCGAATATAAATTTTTATTATAATGTTTTTAAAATTTATTTATGCCAATAAGCATTTAAAAATTTACTAATAATTAGCATTATTTTTAACAGAGTAAGCACATTTGTAAATTTGTTTTTAAGTTTGATTTTGATAAGAAGCTTAATCATTTGTTTACAATTTCGAAATGTACTTTGATGATCATACTTTGGAACTTTTAAATTGACTCCCCCCAACAAAATTTTCTTATTATTATGACATTATAAATAATCTTATCTGGTCTGTTGATTTTTCCGTTTTATATGAATTCCATGTTGTACGAGTCGCATAGATTTTACAAATACGTGAGCCGTTCACAGCCCGGCACACGTATTTATAAAATCTAAGTGACTCGTACAACATGGAATTCATATAAAACGGAATAATCAACAGTGTTATAGGGGG